CCCGCCAATAATAACAACATGAACAAGGAGAAGGAAAGGTGGCACGAAGGGTAGCACAAAGAAAGGGTGGTAAAAAAAAGAAAAAAGGAGCAAAGTGGGCATAGCAGTTGAGAGTAAGCTGCAACGATAGACGTCGGGTCAGTCTCGCCGCTGGAGAACACAATCTGTTTCTTTTTTTTTTTTATCTGTTGGCTGTTGTCATTCCATCCCTCTCGTTTGGGGTTTCACCTTTTTAAAAAAAAATATATATATATTTATATATTTATATATATTTGCATATTTTTTTAGGGGGGCAGTGGTGCTATCGCCGCGTCGACCACTGCTGGAGAGTTGTGTGTGTGTGTGTGTGTTTATGATTGTGTGACCTCCTTATACATTCACCCTCTTTCACTCTCTCTCGCTCGCTCTCTTTCCGCTTCTTCTTCCCCCCCTCCCTCCCTCCTCTCTTCCTCCTCCTCTATGTGTGCGTTTGTCCCTCTGTGTTTCACTCTCTCAGCCTCTTATGTTGCCTGGTGTGCGCTAGAGGGTGCCTGGCTACACCCTGCGGCTTTCCTCTCTGGTCCTCACTGTATGCCAGTTGTCAGACAATCGTGTTTTCTCCTCTTTCTCCCCTGGTTTTTTTTTTTCGTTGTTGTTCTTTCGTTGTGTTGTAAGAGTTACGTGGAGCAGGTGAACCCCGACGAGTGACGGGGTCTTCTTGCGAGTGTCGCAGCGTGTTTCGCGTCAGTGGACACAAACGCGGGGAATGTCCTGTGACCTTGCTGCGTCAGTGCCGCCGTGGCATCTTGTCGCTGCAGCCTTCCTGCTGGGCTGTGCGATGGGGGCCGCGGCGATGTACGCTGTCCTTGTGAGAGTGGCGCGCAGACGGGCCCAAGCAGCCCCGCCTGCTTGTAATACACAGACAAGTGCGGCACGGATGTCTTCCTTGTTCAACATGGACGTAGAGGAACGTGCCGCCGTGCAGCGGACGAGCCAACATCAACAGCAGCAGCACGACGCTGACGTTACATTGGTGCAGAAGGCAGGGGCGCCGCTGACAGCCGCATCTGCGGCGGACGTGTTGCACGCTTCGCTGTCGACAGCGCCGTTGTCGCGACAGGTGCGGCACCATACCCGTCGCGGCTCCATTCAGCTCCTGTTCAAGTCGTGCGTGAGTGCCACGGAGGCAGAGGGATCCGAGAGCGACTACAAGGTGGGGTTTAGCCTCGGCCCGGACAACAATGCCGTTAAGCCCGATGCCTGTGTTGATAGCGATGACGAGAACAACAGCACTGAACCGCCAGAGTGGCATGTCGGTAGTGAGGCATGGGGGGCGGACTCATCGAAAGATGTGATGCCCCAGAACGCGGCAGCAGGCGCGAGCGACACTGACACACTCAACGGACTCTTCTCTGCCTCCGACGACATACAATCAGAGGCAAGCGATGAGGAAGACTGGGAAAGACATAGTGACGACAGCAAGACTGAGCAGCAGGGACAGCCAAGCCAAACAAAGTCTTCAGTCACACAACAACAACAGCAGCAACGGCGGCCCCACCCCTGTGGTTCGATATCGTCGTGGCGTCACATGGAGAGGTTGTCCGGTGGCGGTGCGCCACCATTCGACGAGAACGAGCATCGGAAGTGTTCCTCAAGAGCCGACTCTATCTTCTCAAATCGTAACTTCTACCATACCTTCAGCGGCGCAATCATCTCGAGGCTCCCCTTGCAAGCGTCGGTTCGGCGACAGTCTATACAGCAGCTACTGCAGGTGCCGCCGCAATTCGTGAAGGATGGAGATAACGTGGAGGAGGAGGATGTCCCCTCGCAAATGATGCTGTCTTCGCAGTCGATTAGGAGCCTGCCAGACAACCCTATCTACCGCATCGTTATCACCGGCGGCCCATGTAGCGGCAAAACATCGAGCCTGTCGTATCTTCGCCAGACCTTCGAGCGGCTGAACTTCAACGTGTTCTGTGTTCCGGAGGTGGCGACGCTGCTCCACGGCGGCGGCGTCAGCTTGGCGCTGGAGACCAGTGAGGAACGTATCACGCAGCAGCGTGTTATCCTGCAGATGATCATGATGCTCGAGGACGCCTTCTACGAGTTGGCATCGATGCACCGGCGGCCGACCCTGATTCTCTACGACCGCGGCACGATGGACGGCAGCGCCTACTGCTCCGAGGAGGAGTGGAACGCCGTCCTCGACATCACGGGTTACACCAACGAAGAGCTGAGCGACGCGCGATACGACGGAGTGGTGCACCTCGTCACTGCGGCCATAGGGGCGGAAGAGTTCTACACGCTCGACAACAACGCCGCTCGCTCCGAGGGCGTGGAGGAGGCACGGCGCCTAGACGGAATGACACGAAACGCCTGGCGCGGGCACTTTCTCGTCTCAGTGGTGCACAACGAGGACATGAACTTTGAAAAGAAAATGCAACGCGTGGCGCAGTTCATCGGCTGCGTGATGGGTGTCTCGGTTGTAGAGGACGGCACCACGGTGGCGCCGCTGCCCCCGGCCCTGCCACAGCCACAACAACAGAAGCAGCAGCAGCAGCAGCAGCAGCGAGATGAGGATGTCACGCGTATGGCGTACTTGGCAACGGGAATGCGTGCCTTCTCGAGGGACGCGTTGATGGCGTCCATGTCGGCTGACACCGACGCCGGTGTTTCGCCTACTCCGGCGGAGATGTGCACCCGCCCGTCATCGTCGTCGTTGCAGAACACCGCCGTTGCGTTGGACGGCAAGGGTTCTCGCGGCAACCTGCGGCGGCACTTTTTCGTGAGCCGTGTTGATTTCGCCCGCATTCCACCAGACGCGGTGACGGCAAGCGTCGTCGTTGTGACGCTGCGCCCGGCACGCGCGGAGTACTCCAGCGAGGTCATTATCCGCCTGTCGCGTCTCAATGACGCCCATGCGGTGTACTTCCGCCGTGTGGAGTACAACGGCGCCAGCAGCAACGCCGTGCGGCACCACCGGACCCGCGTGCAGATCACGAAGGCGACATTCCTGAAATGCGCGCGCCGCCGTGATACGTCACAGCCGGTGATTCGAAAAACGACGTGGCGTTTCTTCATCAACATGCGGCATTTCACGCTCGTGAGTTTCGATCGGCCGCGGGAGCTGCGCGGTTTCTGCCGCCT